AACCACAAGCAGTTCTTCTCTAAAACATCTTGAATAAAAAGTAAAAAAATAAATAAAAATCCTCATACATATGAATATAAAAGTGCATATGAATCTTACCATATTTCAAGAGATTTTTTTCAGCATTTGTCAGTGCACAAGTTCTCAAAGGACTCAAAATGAATTAGAAAAGATGGAGAAGAAAATGGTGTAAAATCAATTGATGTCCATGAGAGAGAAAAACAAATCTAAAACATGTCAAAGTCTCTAATGAGAGCAATAAATATTAATAATATGAACCCAAACATGAATATTTTTGTAGCATGTAGTTTTGATTAGTAGCTTCATATGATTATGTAAATCTTCTGTTGCATATTTAAACAGTAGGCACAAGTCAGTTTTCACATTCATCTGATCACTAGAGGGTGTGAAGAATCACTTCAGTTCATTCAAACTGTGCTGTGAAACAAACCATGATCTCTTCATCTTCACGTATTTATAGCCTAATAAAATATTGGCTATTCGAACCAAATATACTCTTAGTATTAGTATAGGCCTACTTGTTTTTTTTTTATTACAGCCCGTGATAATTAATACATTACAAAAACATTGTAAAAATAAAAAATTAGGCTACCTTATAGCTTATACCTTATATATTGGAAAAAAAGTCATCACACACCCTCTACGTCTACTTCTATCATCGTTTGAATTAAGAAAAATCACGTTTAAAAAGAAGGCGCGTGAGGAGGGGGCGGAATATTTGACAAATTACGCTACAGCACTTATATTTGCACTGATTGGCTACTAAATGTGAGCAGACAGAAGCTGCGTTCGAATTTCAATAAGTACATACTTAACGAGCGCTAAAAGAGTACGTACTCTACAGCCACATCTCGTTAAGTATGAATGAGATCCGGTGTCATGAGAAATCGAGTCCTCCCTCGAAATTGGTTAAAGCTAGAAGGGATACGTATGGTGCTACTGGGCATGCGCACATCAATACAGCGTAATTTGTCACACTGTACAACAATAATTACTATTTTTTCATTATTGTAAGGGGTAGGTGTAGACGTTAATAAAACACAATCTAATAGGTAGAAAGTTAATTTCATTGTTCGTTTCCGGTCTGAGCTGTATCCCTTCTAGCCACAACCATAGACCATAGACTGTATAAATAGACGGAGGAGCTATGTTTTTTTCTGGATAAAAACACGATAACGTTTACATTTATCAACCGATAATTTTCAGATTTCAGAGGTTTGTGATCTACGTGGAGTTAAAAATAACTCTGCCTCCAGTTATTTAGTTAGGTTTGGAAAATTATACATTTTCGTAAGAAATTGTGAAAACTCACACTTGTTGATTTGATTTGATTTTTTCGGGTTACAACTCTAATGTTAATGTAGTATAACTGTGGCATATACATGTTTTGTAATTTGAATGTACATTAAATGAAATTAAGTTGTTTCATTGCTTTCTCTGTCTTCAACCCCAACATTTGAGCTTTTCTTGTGCTTCAGGTCAGAACACAGCTCATTCCCTTTGAAATACTGGAAGAAAATCTAAATAATACATCTTTAGGCACTAATAATTTACCATCACTGAGAACATTGAATAAAACCAGCGAATACAAATCAAAAAGTGACACTCTTGGTAGTCTGCTTTTTATTTTGATAGCACTCTATACAGATAAACTCCACAACAAACAATAACAA